CTTCAGATATGCAAGTTGATCTCCCAAACCGCTGCTTGTTGTACATTTTTAATAAACATCACAGCACCACTATGTTTGATGACTGTTTGATTCTCTGTTTCTCAGCAGCTGCAGCTTCACACTTTTTTTTCCTTCCATTTTTAGCAATCCTTTCCTGTACATAAAGGTTCAGAAGTACGTGTGTTTGTCACAAATGTTTTGCATGCTTTCTGGAAATTCCAAGAATTGATTACCACTCAGTTTCTGATTTTGCTTCCAGTCACACTGTTGTCTGGTTGTGCTTGATTGAGCATGTTTGAGGTTGGTTGATGGGAAAGTGAGTCATATTGTCATTTTATTTTATTTATTTTTTTCTCAGTTCCACCTCAACTTTCAAATATTGTTAACATTTAAATTTTGAAGGTGTCTGAGAAAACTTTTTACACTTGCATAAAAGAAAAATCTCTGTTCCTTTTTTTTCTTTTTATGTGCCATGTCCTTTCATAACGTAGGTGATCATGGCTCTCCACGTCCTTCTTTTCCCTTGCAGCTCTCAACAAATTCCTTCCTTCTGCTTCCTCCCCCAGACCACATTCTGTCATCCACCTGCTCAAACTCGTCAGGTATGTCATGCGCTGTTTTCCTTTGTCTCTCTTTCCCTCTATTTGTTCTGTGAGTATCAGATTCTCCAGGCCCTCCTTCCTCATTATGTGTCCCAGAAACTTCAGCTGCCTCTTCCTGATGTTAAGCATAAGCCTTCTCCTTGTTTGCAACCTCTCTAAGATCTCATTGTTGCTCACATGTTCGGTCCATGATATCCTTAGCAACCTTTTGTAGAACCATATCTTCATTGCCTTGAGTCTCTTCTTCATTGAAGAAATTTTCCAACATTTGTTGCCGTAAAGAAGAACAGATGTCATGTAACGGCTCAGTATTCTTTTCTTTGTTACCAAAGAAATCCTGTCTTGCAATACTCTGCTAAGCTTTTGGAATGTGTCCTTGGCTATCCCAGTATGTCTACAGAACTCAGTGTCACACTTACCATCCTCTGTCAAGACGCTTCCCAGATATTTAAACTTCTGCGTCTGCTTAATTCTAGTGTTACCGACCTGCAAATTGCATTTCAGGCTCTTTTTCTTGCTGATGACCATGCGTTCTGTTACTTTAATAAAATAAAATATATATTCAGATGCAGTGGTTAACATTCTGAAAGTTTGTCATGAACCTTACCAAAAAATAACTTAAAAACTCCAAGAACATTTTTGTTGAGAGTTGCTACTTGTATAATTTAAAATATTTTCTTTCACATTGGCACAAAAATTTACACTGAATATCTATTTATTAAAAAATGTAGTTGTAATTTTTTATTGCAATTCTGAAATTCCACCAATAATGGAGTTTTCCTATTAAATGAAGATACATTTTAAGAATTGAAAAATGTAAAATTTAATACCATTCTTGAGTTGACAGGCTACTGTGTTTATGACAGCTCACAAGTTACCTTGCATAAATAAACATTATTTTCACTGTTTTAACCAAAAAATATTGTTTTTACAAAATCCAGTCAATTATTCCTCAATTTTACTAATTTACTTTGAAACAAAAGATAAATACTGGATTTTTAAATTTAATTTCTCAAGAGAGATTCTGTGAATGACCATGCCAATTTCTTTAAAATGCCTGAAAAAATTAAAACCTTATTTAAATACAAAAAAATGTTTGCTTTTTTTTTTATTACAAATTAGCTTTAGGCTTTTATCTTTCAAATAACAAAAATTAACTTCAGAGTAGACAGTTAAATTATTCAAGATGCATTTTAAAGTTTTCTTCAGAAAGTTCATAGCAATACTTTATAAATGACCATTAAAAGTTCTGTTTGAATTTTTTTATGGACAAATGAGTATGAACAAAATTTAACAAACTAAAAATGTTTATTTTGTTATTTCAGTTAATTTATTTTTAAGAAAATAAGATCAGCTGAGGCAACAATTTGAGCTGACAGTTTGTTCAAAATATTGTTTTATTCTGTTTGAAATGTTGGTTCTCAAGTTTGTTAAAAATAATTGCTTTATGCAATTCTAAAATGCATCATTAATGAAAATATAAGAAAAAATGTAAACTGTAATATCTGTCGATGAAAGTGATTTTAAAACCAGGTTCAGCTGGCAACGTTCACTCACAAGGTCAGCAATACAAATTTCAATGCATCAGACCCTGCTGTTTTGTCTGAAATAAATGCAGTATACACTGTTTTTGATTTGCATGCACCTCAAATTGTGTGGGTACAGAGATATGAAAGCAATTAATTAAAAAGACCTGGCTCTACAAGGAGCTGTAAATTTAATTTTCTTTCTTTTGTGTCAGATTTCTCTGGCATTTCATCTTCAACTTTGAAATCTTTTGTGAAAGATAGGATTCACCCACCAAATTAATGAGCATCCTTTTTATTTATGGGTCTGTTTTGATATGTGCAGAAAGATGCAACTCTGATTGCATCTAATTTGAAAAACACTACTATGAAATTGACTTTGAAAATACAGAAAATCACTGCCTATCATTGAAATATTGGCATAATTTAAAGAGACATAGAATAAAACCTAATCATCACACATGAAAAAGAATTTGATCTTTAGAAAGAGAAAGGATTTAAATTTGTTTACATACCAATTTTATCAGAATAGTTTTGAAAATAAATGAGATATCAGCAGTCGAAATGGAAGGAAATCTCACTACTTTGTCACGTGTCTACACTGAAAATTAGGGCAGTTTGGTATACTAAATTCATTGGAAAGCCAGAATCTAGAAAAGAGTTCCACAAGTAAGAAGTGTGACAGCAGAAACTGTTAGCATAGAACTTAAAAGTTACATTGAGCCAATTCAATTGATGAGACCTTTCCACCAATCTAGTACTGTGCTTAAAATCTTAACGTCTAAGCCCAAAGAGGAATATTTCTCAAAACAATTACTATGAAAATATAGAAAAAGCATGTGGCAGTTACATTAGGGTGGTTGGGAAAGTGACTGAAACCAAGGATCAGTAACATAGCAAATTCTTCTTTGTATTTTATCAAGAATCTGTAAATACTGAGTAGTTACAAAAGTGATAGCAATATTCAATATCTGAATAAATGGTAGACTTATAAATGTGTAAGATAGATTCTGTTAAGAACATTTGCCCGACACAGTGAACCAACTTTCCTAACAGCAGACCTAGCAATTGTTTCTTTAGCTAAACTGAAATGTTCATCTGTTTCCTGCCAATCTCTATTGGATATCTGCTGTCATAAAAATGGATATAAAAGTAAGGGTCTTGTTTTGAATTATGTATACATATCCCCGGCCAGTCATCTGAAAGCTAGTTTATTGGCTTTTATTTTTAAACTTTTTCAGCCATGGCTTTCTGCTCCGTAATATGACTCCGGGAAAACCATGACCTAAATGTAGAGCAATAGCTGCAGAGGCCACAGTGTGAACATTGAATGAATAAGAAGATCAGAAATGTTGTGAATATGACAATAAAGATGAAGACAACGAACAATGTAAATAGTTACAATACCTCATCTCAGAAATATAGACACATCCTGAAGAATGCCAGAGTGTACAAAGGCTGAAATGTTGTGAATATGACAATAAAGATTATCCAACAGTCCTAACAATTTAAATAGTGTAAACGGTTACAGTACCTCATCTCAGAAATATAGACAGATACTGAAGAATATTTATTTCATAAACATGTTATTGGTGTGTGTTTTGTTTTGTTTTTTTTGTTTTTTTTTAATCATGCTACTAATAACTATAAATGATAAAAAAAAATTAAAAAACAAAACACAAAAAAGAAATAATGCTTCGATTTTGGGATAGTTAAAAAAAACAAATTTCAGGATGGCTCCAGGACTATGATGAAAAAGTTAGTTCCTGTCATCATACTTATTATAAAACCCAGGTTGTGTGTGTGTGTCTGTACATTTATATATTGGATCGAATTTCCCACATTTTTCAACCGAATTCAACAAAACTTCACAGGACTACATAAAATTACCTTGCGGTGGTTCTGACAGCACCAAAAATTGGAAAAACACAATTGTTTTTGCACGAAATCAACTTGAAAACATGATTAAGAGGCATCGCGAGAATGAAAGGGGGACAACTCACATCGAGTTATACTTATAAAACCCAGGTTGGTTGTGTGTGTGTGTTCGTTTATATATGGGATCGGATTTCCTACATTTTTCAACCGATTTCAACAAAACTTCACTTTTTTGGCAGGTGTTGTTTCTTATTATCTTGCACACTTTTTTCTTTATATTTACATTCAGAATGCTTTAAAAATTCCATTTACAAGACAATTGTTTATAATAAAATTCTATTCAATCGATAGACTCATAACGATTGAAAACAATGTTTTTGTTTCAGTTTGGGTTTGACCAATTATTAAAAAAAAAAACACTTAAGACATGCGTGTCTGTCAACCTTAAACAATAATCTTTGTCAATTTTATTTTTCAGTCTTTATGATGGTCGATACTTGATCTATCTCTTACTGTTACATCCCCGGGCAATGCCGGGCTCTACTGCTAGTGATAATTACAGTGCTAATGAGTTTATGACCATATCACATTGAAACACCAGTTCTTGCATGGTTACTGAAGTTAAGCAATGTTGAGCTTGATCATTCTCTAGATGGGTGACTGCTAATAAGTAATAAACTTGACCAGATCTTATATTTGGAGGAGAGATATTACATTGTATATGAAAGTTTAGATTCTATATTAGGTGTTTCTCCATTCATCCTTTTATACTCACACAATGTTCCAAAATCATTTTTGTGTAATTTTTCAGGAAAATCATAATTTTATTCATTGATTAGGCTAGGAAACCTGAAAAAGTTTAAAAATAAAAGCCAATAAACTGGCTTTCAGATGACTGGCTGGGGGTGGGGATATGGAAACATAATTCAAAACAAGACCCTTACTTTTATATCCATTTTTATGACAGCAGATATCCAATTTACAATGTGACTTATAGCCATATCATGTTGAAACACCACTCCCCGTACGACCATTGAAGTTAAGCAACACTGAAACTAGTCAGTACATAGATGTGTGACCGCTTAGGAATACCAGGTGCTGCAAGCATGGATGTGTGGGCGGTGTAATGGATAATGGTTTGGAATTATTAATTGAAGAGCCAAGTTCCAATTCCAGTTGGGTTTGTTATATTTATTTACATGTAAATACCCTTGAGAAAGGTATGAATCCACCTGTTCTTCCCCACCAACTGTAGGTTAATTAGTAAAACTTGTATAAGTAAACCATTATCACAAAAAAAAATTCATAACTTTTAACTAACCTACAAAAGGTTAAGCCATAGAAAACAAATCAATCAATGAAATGCCTTTTAGATTTATTTACATTTTCTGGAATATAAATGCACAGAAACTAATGTGACCACAAAGTGAGGGATCAGTTTATACATTGGTTGTAATACAGAATTAGTCCTCCATTTTATATTCACATTATAATTTCTTGTTTATCAAATTCTGATTAGGTATGAATTTACATTTTCTCCCATCAACTAGATTTATTTTATTTGCATGAGAGATGTTATATTGAATATGATGAGAAAGTTTCTAATCTACAATGTCTGTTACACAATGTTCCATAATGATTTAATTTCAGTGGGAATTATCAGCAAAATTTATTCAGCAATTAAACTGGGAATGCTGACATAAACATTAATTTCTTTATTCTTCCTGAATCATTTGATTATAACCTAAAACTTTCTGGAGGCCAAATATATGTAAATTCGAATCTTGCTGCTAATTTATTCTCAATTTCTAATTTACACTGCTTGTTGAGGATCTGAATTGTTTTGATGCAGAGCAATTAAAATATGAAAGTGAATAAAAGTTAAATATTAATGGATGACAATGCTTCATCTAATAACAATAAAATTCAAGATATGTTCTCCAAATAACCTGAACTGGAATTTAATTTTGTTAATTCTGTAAGCCTGTTGATAGCCATTAAATATAGATCTGTTTTTACCATTAAATTTAACATTGGCATTGACTATGTTATTGATGATGACTATCAGTTTGTTTATATGAGGAACAGAATGTACAAGAGACTTGTTAGCCAGCTTGTTAGTGAGATAATTAGAGAACATCTTAAAGCCATGATTTCAAAACCTTAAAGAAAGTAGAAATTAGCCCAGATATAACAGTAAATGTGTAGTCCTAGGTATGACGATAAACTACATCTGGCAGCAAGGCCTCTGATCAGGAGATTGGAGGTTTTGAGGAGTATGGAAACACCTCTTAACTGCTGTTGTTCCCAGGGTGGTAGCACTTGTTAGGGCCCAAGCTGTCAGCAAATAAGGAACCTCCCAAACACTATGAAAGTATAAAAATGCCAGCAATACATTATTATATTAAAAACAATTACCAACAATACATTTTTATAGCAGAATGACCAACAATACATTTTATCTGGATTTGAAGCCATAAAACCGTGTTAAAAATATTTAGATTCCGGTGTTAAATAACCCATAGAGGTTGATGTGCTGCTAAACAAAATCAAAAAATCAACATGAAAGAACTTTTTCATGACATTAATCCATATAATATCCTTCAATTTATAAAATAAACTGTTTTCCAAAGTATGACTTCAACAAAGAACACATTTTTCTTTTTTTAAAAAATATTACATATCACTACCTCTTGTAATTATGTTTTCACATGTATATGAACAAAAGCTGAGTATCATCTACCATATATTCAATTGTGAAAGCAGAATAACATTCATATTTTTATTACTTGAAAGCTTCCAAGAAAATTACATTTTGGCATTAAAGGTATTGATATGCTGTTAAACAAAAAAAAACAATCAATCAAAAGCGGGTCCTATTTTCTTTAAGGATTTGAAATTGTAATTTTTATGCATTTTGGAATGACCTCATAGACAGTTTAGATTAATTTTTCTTTCTGGGCCAGATTTTATATGCACTGAAACTTGCTTGTCATCTGAGTAAATCATTAGTTTCTCCTCGTTTACTAATTAATTCTTGAGTGTCAGATTATATAACCAGCATCATTTCTATACAACAATTAATACACTTAACATATCTGTGTACTAACGAAGAACTGATTAAAACTCCAGCTTTTTTTTTCTATTGTCATGTTTAAAACACTTAAAAAACTTTCAATCTTCATTGTTGATCATTTTGAGGAGAGTCCTTATCATTCCAAGAATAGTACAGATACTTGAACTCTTTATCTTTGATGGTCCTACTACATTTTGGCAGATCCATTCTATGATTGATTGTTTTTTTTTTTATTATTTAAAGCCAAAAATTTTTAGATTGTTAAAATTTTTTAAAATAAGAAAATACTTTTAGATTTGCTAAAAATATTTTTCTAAAATAATCTATTTCTATCTGATAAAAGTCTCTATCTAATCCCCATCTATCTATATATCTATCTATCCATCTATCTATCTATCTATATCTCTCTATCTCTATCTCTATATCTATCTCTATCTATCTCTCCCTATCTATCTCTCCCTATCTATCTATCTCTATCTATCTATCTATCTATCTATCTATCTATCTATCTATCTCTATCTCTATCTCTATATATATTTGATCTATCCTATCTATCTATCTCTATCTATCTATCTATCTATCTATCTATTAATCTATCTATCTCATCTATCTATCTCTATCTATCTATCTCTATCTATCTATCTCTATCTATCTATCTCTAATCTCTATCTATCTATCTCTATCTATCTATCTATCTATCATCTATCTATCTCTATCTATCTATCTATTCTTCTATCATTTTATCTATCTCTATCTATCTATCTCTATTTAATCTCTATCTATCTATATTTTGATGAATTTGTTTTTTAAAAATTTTTCTTTCATTTTAACTGTCGGATTTTTATCCATTTATATCATTTACTTGCTTATATATATATATATATATATATATATATATATATATATATATATATAAACTAAAAATTAAGGGACAAAATTTTAAAACCTAATATTTGTTAGAAATAACAACTGTGAAAAGCTGAAATTTTTTTCACAACTGGTAGTCGTTTTCTCAATTTTGTCCCTTACTTTTGGACGATCTTATTTTGAAAATAAATAAATAAATAATTGTTATAATTCTTTTTCTATCCTTTGCAAATGATTCAAATTTTAGTATGTTATTATGGATGATAATGACTACCAGTTGTCAAATTTTCAGCTTTTCACAGTTGTTATTTCTAACAAATATTAGGTTTTAAAATTTTGTCCCTTAGTTTTGGACGCTACTATATATATATATATATATATATATATATATATATATTTTAAAATGTCGTAATGGAAAATGGCGTGTTATTCAGGCTAGCATGCTCATCTTTGTTGTTCATATTTCCAACATTTCAGCCATTGTACTCTTTGACCAGCTTCAGGTATCTATTGCTGTACCTAGTATTTTACTTAGAATTTTGAACTGAACCCTTTATTCAATCTATGGAGATAGATTGTCCTCTTTCCATGATTGGGGTATATTTTTCTCTGTTCATCCTTATCAATTTTATTCATTTGATGTCTTTTTCTGTTCCTTCCACTGAAACACAGTATGTGAATTTTCATCGCTACCAGATTGAACTCGAAACTGCCATAGACTTGGATGCATTTTAATCCACAATGTCCTGTGTCTCTTTGAACAGGCACCTGAAGAAGGTTGAAGTATTAGTATAATGATCAAAGTGAGAATAATTGTCCAAATAGCAAAACCTAAATATTTTGACAAAAATGGTACAAAGTAAAATTCAGAACATTCAAATTTCCTTCATATTGGACTTGGGTTGGAAAATTGTGCTTTGTGAAACTGTCGTGAGCCTGTTTTTAAATTATGGCTTCTTATCTGGGCTCAAAAGCTGCCCCTTTTATATCCCCCTACTCCTGCCACCAAGTAGGCTGTTCATGTTTAAACAATAATTATTTTCAAGTTTACCTGAATAATTCTTACAAGGAATTGGGTTGTTATTAAATAATTGTCTGTAGCATCACTTGTAAATAATGCTTGATGCTTAAGTGATCTCCCTCTGTATATACACACACATACACACACATAAAATTTGTCACTATTCTGATATGTTCAGCACCTCAACTCTGGAGTTTAGTCGACAAACTGTTTTGCAATTGTTCTGTTGACTTGTCAGGACATATCAGCAATCGACTTCAGATTCTTTCATTTTTGTTATTTTTATATTAAGGTAAAAATTAATTTATGTACCAGTTATTGTTGTGGGGGTGATTTTTTTTTTTTTTTTTTGTGTGTGTGTATATATATATATATATAATGTTGGGGGTTACTTTACTTTTTCATACTTTTCTTATCTCCTTACACTCTCTCCTTGTTCCTTTTCTTTCTTTTGGCTCAGAGTTAAAAAATAATGTCATTTCTGGTGTCACAAATGCGACTTTTGGGGTTTTTAGGATAATTTGGGGATTTTTCTTAAGTTGTGGTTAGTTAATAAATATAGGTATATATATTTTTTATTTATTTTTTTATTTAAATGATATATAGGAGCAGCAGATCATTATTCAAACATGTTGTTAAATATAACAGGCAACGAATGTCTATTATATTTTATCATGAGCCTTCCCAAGCATCGTATAATGGCTTTAGTTTCAAGAGAAAATAAACAGAAAACTGTTCAATATTTGGATATTTCTTTATTATATTAGTTGTCGATCTAAGCTTTCAGCTCACATGAGCCATCATCAGAGTTATTATGTAGACATTACAATAGAGATGTTCACCGAAAACTAAAGCCATTATACAATGCTTGGAAAGGCTCATGATAAAACAATAGACATTTGTTGCCTGTTATATTTAACAAAATGTGTGTGTGTGCGCGCGCGCGCGAGTTCAAAAGTTTGACAGAAGAGTGAAAAAAAATGAAAAAGAGCTCTAAGAGGCATTGAAAAAAAAAAATGGAATCAATTATCAAACTTAAATTTTGAGAAACTTTTGCAACAGATGTCAAAAATTTGTGTTGCAGTAATCAAGGCTAACAAAGGATATTTTGACAAGAGCAAGATTTAGTCATGAAATGTTT